CTCGAACCCCTGGGCTCAGGCAATCCTCTCACCTCGGCCTCCCAAAGTGCTGGGATTACAGGCTTGAGTCACCGCACCCAGCCAAAAGCGAATATTTTATTTGTTAATTTTTTGTAGAGACGGACTCTCCCTACATCGCCTAGGCTGGTATTGAACTCCTGGCCTCAAGGAATCCTTCCTCCTCAGCCTTCCAGAGTTCTGGGAATCACAAGTGTGAGCCACAGCGCCTGTCCTAAATATTTTTAAAACACTAACACTGAGTCAGGTTCTGTGCAAGCAGTGCTTGGGCCCCGAACCACTCTGCAATGGGGTCTCTCTCTCTTTTTTTTAGATGAGGGAACAAAGGCTTAGAGAGACTATGGCCATGCATTGCCAAGGGCATGCTGCCATCGAACCTTCTAGCCAGGAGGGTCTACGGGGAACAGTCTCCCACTGGCACCTCTCCCTCCAGCCCCCCAGCAGAGTGCCAGCCTCCATCTGCACCTCATGCACACATCGGAACAGCTCCCAGTGGAAGGCAGTAAGGTGATTGGCGACATCCTCTGGCTCCACCCGGTGGATCTCTGTATCTCCAGGGGAGACCTGGATCTCTTCAGGGAGGGGCACCTGGTGGCAGGAAGAGGCATAGATGCTGAGCTCCAGAGGCAGGGTGAAGGACTGCTCACAGACCTCCCAATCCCTGGGTCCTGGCCAAGGCCTCATGAAGGAGTTCTTACCAGGGCCTCATAGCTGTCCCGTGTACAGGCAAACAGGTGGCTGTTGATGCCCAGTGTGGTGAAAACACAGTCCTCAGTTGGCTGGAGAAGAACTTTCTCTGTAGGAGAACGAGCTGCTGAGCCTCTACCTGACACCTGTACCCTCACAGCCCGGCACTGTCCCCATCCCGTCCAGAAATTCCTAATCCCACACTGCCACATTCTAGACTAATATTATCACCATTTTATGCCTTATTTATTTATTTATTTATTTGAGTTGGAGTCTCACTCTGTTGCCCAGACTGGACTGCAGTGGCCACTCCCAGCCACCGCAGCCTCGACCCGCTGGGCTCCAGCGATCCTTCCGCCTCAGCCTTCCGAGTAGCCGGAATTACAGGCACGTGCTACCACGCCCGGCTGATTTTTTGATTTATTGTAGAGATGAGGTCTCGCTGCCCAGGGTGGTTCGAACCCACGGGCTCAGGCAATCCACTCACCTCAGCCTCCCAAAGGCACGGGATTACAGGCTTATGCCATATTTATCTGAAATATGTCACATAATGATTGCGTTTGCATTTATTACTTTTTTTTTTTAACTCCGAACGTTCTTTCATAGCCCTTCTCTTACTCAATTGTCCTTGTGACATTGGAAAGGCAGGAATTTTTTTCCCACCTTAGAAGGAAATAAGGCTGCAGCTCCATTGCTGGCTTTCTGCCTTCACACAGGGATTAGAGACCCACCCTGTGTCTTTAGCCTGAAAAATGTAGCATCCTTAGGTGCACAGGGAAGTTAAAGGACCAGAACACAGTCCCCAGGTGAGGGAGAGGCAGCCCCCAGATCAGAACCCGAGAGTCCTGAACTAGGGTCCCCCCCAATTTTAATGTGCATAGGAATCCCCAAGGGTCTTGCTCCAATGCAGATTTTCACCCAGTAGGTCTGGGGTGGGACCTCAAATGCTTTTTCTGTTTTGAGTTGGGGTCTCACTCTGTTGCTGAGGCTGGAGTGCAGTGGCACAATCATGGCTCATTGCAGCCTCAACCTCCTGTGCTCAGGTGATCCTCGGGTCTCAGTCCCTCAAGTAGCTGCAACTTCAGGCACCACGCCCAGCTAATTTTTTTGTTTTTTGTAGAGATGAGGTCTCACTAGGTTGCCCAGGCTGGTGTTGAACTCCTGGGCTCAAGCAATCCTCTCCCTTCAGCCTCTCAAAGTGCTGAAATTATAGGCGTGAACCACTGCACCAGCCCAGATGCTACATTTTATTTTATTTTATTTTATTTTTTGAGTGGGAGTCTCACTCTGTCGCCCAGACTGGAGTGTAGTGGCCGCTCCCAGCC